TCTATGCATGGCTTATATGTTTAATCAGTAATAGCAACAAAGATACAATGTCAGCATTTACTACCCCCTTTAGTAAATCAAAAACAAATACGTAAATGCAAATAATTATTCTCATCTATTGATTCTACCAAGGTGTTAAGAGTGGGAGGGAGGAGGAGATGATAATACTTTTAAATAAAGATTTGAAGCTGTCTATAAGTATTATCTGAGCAACGAGGTAGGTACACCTAGAAATTAAATTTCATGAAGGTACACCTAGAAATTAAATCTAATGAAGTATTAGATTTTGCCTGTCTGTCCCCTCTCCCCATAAGATGTTAATAGGGTCTATATCATTTTGCTCTTTGTATTTTTCAGAAAGATATAAAGCATATTCAACAAGTATTCACTAAGTAAATTATTCTTTGGATATAGTTGTTAGGCAGAAGCATAAATTTCATGGAATAAGTTTTCTACAAAAATCCTAACCTGAATTGGATCTTATGAGATAACATCCAATAAAATATTTCAAAGTATGATAAATATCCTAAAAAGCTAATAAACAACCTATTCCTTAAACTGCTACTAAAGCTAGCTTTTCTGCATATGGTCCCCTGGCTGATTCCAAGTTCCCAATGCTATGTGTTTTTTCAGTTAATGACTATTCAGAGCCACAAGGCACTTGGTCAGCAGACAGAAAACTGAGAATTCAGTAAGACTGGAAACATTCATTTTCTTAACTGTCAAAGACAAGTTAAGAAACAGGTATCCTATTATGTACCATGATTTGCTTACTCACAAAACTGTCTTTTCTTTTAGTGGATTGAAAAACAACTATGAAAAATAATTTGTAATTTGAAGATACATTCCAATGACATAGTCTTTGTCAAAGCAGTCATTCATGATAAAGAAATACAAGAGGTACAGAATCAAATTCCAGGATGTCAAACGAAGGTTCTAGATAAAGTGTGTGTAGGATGTGCTGGAAACACAAAATATGTATATTTGTGAAAAAAGGTTTTCTTTAAAGTGTTTCATTATAAAAAATGTTTAAACAAATGCAGAGTTATAGTTAAACCTCCTTTTTTGAACAAATTAAGTATACTCCTGTCTTAGGGACTATAGGATGTTCTGTGTCTTGAATGTCCTGCACCTCCTCCAAATCACCCTGAAAACCAGCTCCTCATACTCCAGATTAAGTTTCATCTCTTTGGAGAAGCTTTCTTTACCAACTTAAGACAGCAATTCAATCACTCCACTATATAACCCATTTTTTAATCCTCTGCATAACAACACATCACTTTTCTTATTTTTAATTATATTTCTTGCTCCACCAGAGAGAAAGTTCTGTAAGTCCAAGATCTTCACTGCCTTTTTCACCATTTTATCAGTAATACAAGCACAAACTAGGAGCTCATATATTTGTTACATTCGTTTAACAAAGCAATTTTCTTTAATTATAGGTATTCAGAGGGAAGTGTGATGTGGAAAACTTTTTTTTTAAGTGATAAATTTTAAAGGTTATATAGAGCTTCCAAATATTATTTATATGTATAGGGTATTTCATATAAGTGAATGATGATTAGTGAATGTACCACATCCTGAAGTTGTTTCACACCTTCTTGTGGTACTTCCTATTCCATAGCTGTTCTAGTGTTACTATCACCTCTCATACAGATGAAAAACAACAGCCTAAGTAGATGTGCCAGAGTATAAATTCTATAAGCATGGACAAAGCTTTCTGTTGCAGTCCCTGCAATACCTAAGACACTTATGAGCAAAATTAATACTAGCCAATTGGTTTTTCTCATAGGGTAGAAAAAGTAAAGGTATTTTGTATAACATTGGACATAATTAGGTACTTGAATAATTTTACCAAAATAAAAACCTGTAAATTTAAAAATACTGATTTAAACTTAATTTAGATGAGACCTCCTGGGTCAGATCAACTGACTCACCCAAGTAAGAATACTGTCTGACCCTGATACAAAGGTGCAGTTAGTGACTTCCAACAACATTCAGTGTTCATATACCTTAAACACTATTAATCATCCTCCATAAATCATTGTGGGTCTAGCACTAACGTACTTACGTTTACAGCTATGCCACTCCATATAAACAAAGAGATCCATGTTGCACATCCTTTTACTTGTTCAAGAGTATCTTTCAAGCCACAGCCCTAATATTCTGGAATATAATGAGGAATTCTGTTTCTATTAGACAACTTTCAGGATTTTAGGAATGGTTATTTCCCCTTTTAGTGTGTATCTTTCCACAGTAACTTTCTTAGACTGCACTGTCCAAAATAATCTAGGCCAAGTCAATGTTAACAGTTTTGGCTGACAGATCATTTAGTGTGGGGCCTATATATGTCAGGTACATACTATTCCCACATCACAGTTCATTGAACAAACTGCCAACTAAACCAAAATATCAAGATATTAAAAGGTTTAAAGATCTTGCCAAAGCAATTAAGCTTTAATACTTATACACAATCAGCCATTACCATCTGACTGTGAAGAGCCAGTACAACAGTTAAGAAGCTGCTCAAGAGGACCTAGATAAAACTTTAATATGCCCTATGCAAGGAATGTTTATTCTTCTATTTATTCATTAATGCCTTAAAAAGAGTAAGGGGCCACTATATAAGAATACACTTATTAGAACTGAAGAATGCATTACAAATTCCCAGTGAGAACCAGTTAACTTCTGTTTTATGTGCTTCCTCATAATGGCCTAATTTTTTAAGCTGACAAGTTAAATAGTGTATTTTAAATACTGATATGGATTCTAAACAAGGTTAAAATCAGTATGTTTTAGAGAAAGTAACTCTAACATAGCCTAATGAGATCTTTTCCCTTTCCAAATCTTTTGAAATCACACTTCGTTCTAACACCACAGACTCTAAAGTATAGGGCAGCCTGAGTTTGAACTGCAGGCTCTGCCACACCTTGAGAATGCTACTTTTAACTCAATGACCCTTAATGTCCTCATCTGCAAAATAAACATAATACTATTCCCTACCAGATGAAGTTAGGTGAGGACACTCCGTGTAAAGTGCTTAGCATGCTACCTAGGTATAAAAAGCATGAAAATGTTATTACCATCATCATCAGATTCCAATAGTTTGACCCTAAACTAATCATTTCATGGAAGACACATCCAATAAAAGGTTAGGTTGCACTACTCTGCTCTATCCCACTTCTTTCCCCCTGCATGTCTACTTAACTTTATCGCAGCTCACAAAACTTTACTATCCTTGCTAACCTAGATAAAGGGTATTTTTACTACACAGTATGACTTTAGGCTCAGCAAAAACTCATTATGAAAAGCACAACTGAAGTTCAACGTAACTTTTTTCCACTGAAGAAAGTTCCAGTAGTTCATATACTAACACAATTTCCAAAGATTCATGAGCAATCATTTAGAATTAACTGATATTTAAGTATAAATACAAATTTATTTATTAAAAGAAAATGGCTCCTGTATTTCCAATATTTTATTACATTAACAATTCCAGTCCCTAAGCTTAAATAGCCTAAAATTAATCTAATGGGTTATTCTTCAAAATCAAATAGCGATTCCTATAAAAATCACAAGAAACCAAAGAGTACAAAGCAAAGTCTCTGCCTAAGTATCTTATTAATAAGAGTGTTTACCATTTAAGGATCCCTAGAAATACCTTTTAAAAAGACTTGTAACTCAAACTAAAGTATGAGAAACACTAATTGGAAAAGAGGAAATCATAAAAACTCCAATGTTAACATGGAATATTTTCCGTAGGTACTATATCAGTCAGGATTCTTTCCGTCACAGCATAAACACCCTAAAAGACTTCTATAGCTATACATGTGTATGTGCTATTATATATAATTACCCTTTTATGCTAGTAGTGGGGATATCAAAAGTTTCATTCTTTTTTCAGAGGCGTGAAGGGGGGGGGGGGTGAGAGATGGGGATTCTAAGGATTTTTTTTTTTTCCAAATTAGGTACGTGTGTAGGAAAGAGAAGTTGCATGGGGACATAGAAAAGTATGGGAAGCGGGAATGTTCAGAGTGTCCTGGGGACTATGGTAAGAGAAGTCTTTGCAGGGCAGAAAGTGTTTAAGAACATGGCCAGTCATGAGGAGGTAAGGTGACTGAGCAGCTGCCAATACCAGGAGGCTGAACCTTACTTTACTGCTGAATTTTCTGGCGGGGGTTGCCGGGGGCGGGGGGGGGGGGCGGGGGGGGAGGCGGGGTTTCAAGGTCCAGATGGACTAGAAGCTAGAAAGGCTGGTAGTAGCAACACAGGTTAATCCCTGGTGAGATTAGGACCTGAACTAAGATGAAGTAGTGATAAACATCTCTTTCTTTGGGGGGTGGGGGGTGTCAAAAAAAATCATAAGCCACCTTTTATTGAAAGTGAACTCACTGCTTTTAAAATCTTGTGACATCCTAAGTGTATTTACCAAAGTATATAATTTCAGGCTCCCCACCCCCATGACCAAAACAGTTTAATTTTCTTGGTCAAAGGATTATTACACTTATCAAGGTGAAGTCTTTCAGTTTTCGGGCTGGTAACCAGCCAACCAGTTCTAAATTCACAAAGAAGCCTATGTCAAAAGTCCTCCCCGGCAGGTCCCCGCATACGTGCACCGTTTGTTTGAGCCGCGGAGCTGCGGCGGCTCCCGGCCGACAAAGAATGCGGAGCCTGACCCTTTGGGGAATAGCCTGTTTCAAGGCTGAGGTCCTCAGCGAATCTGCAGTGAAAGCTCTTGGTCCTGCTGGATGCTCCACGGGGAGAAGCGGGGGCTCGGCCCAGCGGTCCGCGTGCAGCCCCTGCCCGGAGCCAGCCAAGCACTGAGGCCCAAGTGCCAAGGTTGCCTGAAGCCCCGAGGGCTTCCCCTCCCCGCCGTTCGCCCCGGGCCTTCATCCAGGGCTGGGAGGGACCTTCCCCACCCATCTGTAGGACCCTTCAGGCGCCTCAACCAAAGCCTCACTCCCGCCCCTCACCCTTCCCCGCCCACCGGCCCGGCTCACCCAGAAGATGAGGTTAAGAAACACCAGCACAGTCTTGGAGGAGGTAATGCCACACTGGCCCATGATGCGGGAGATCTTTGGGGCCCTGCCTGGCGAGCCGGATGCGCCCAGCCAGCGAGCCCCAAGGGCGAAGATGCCACCCGGCTGGGAACTGCACTGATTCGCTTGGCGCTCCCCCCAGCCTCTGGCTTCGTCGCACAGCCCAGGCCCTAGCAAGCACCTTGCTCCTCTGCGCAGCCGCCGCAATCCCCAGCCCCTGCGCCCGTTCCCTAGCAACAGAGTCCCGCCTGGATAGGCAGCTTCAGCCAATAGCATAGGGAGGCCGTGCCCCTTAAAGGAGCCAAAGGCTCTGTTGGCGATTTTTGGCCTGTGGCCCACCACGATGCACATGGCTCATTAAGGAGGTTCGAGAGGATGAAGCCGCTCCCGTCCTATCGAGCCAGTTTTCTATGCCAGCCTTATAAATGATTCAGAGCCTGCAGAACGTTGTCTTTCCACCTAGCCCATTCCCCTTGTCAACTCTTGGTCCACAGTGATTGGCGCCAATTCAATACCAACAGGAATTCCCAACTTGATGTCCGGTTAGGAAGCAAACTTGATTCAGTGCAAACAGCTCAATCATGATACAGCACAGTTGTGGAATAGCATGGCTGTAGAGAAGCTCAATAGAGTTACAGCTCAATTATGGACTAAGCACTGCTATGATTTTGGGCCCTGAGGAGGTTGCCCTGGTGGAAGGCCCCTCTTTGGCTACACAGTTCTGCTCTGGGCTGGCTCACGCTAGCCTGATCTCCCTCATCCTGCTGTAACCTCCCCTAGCAAGAGATTTTTGGTGTGTCCACTCCAGCCAGGGACTTAGAACCTACAGGTTTCAATAGAAACAGAAAATAAGCTTTCCCAGCCAGGGGAAATCTGACTTATACAGGGAGAAGTTCCAGCCCCTGGTCCCTGACTGGTCTGTTCTCATTTAATGAGGAGTCCAAATCCTCCTAGTTTGATTGGTCAAAAAAGCACTGTCCTTCCTGATTGGTAGGAATGGAGCTACTCTGATTGATTAGTGAAGATACTAATGAGGATACAGTTGCATGGCTCCAACTGCACATAAAAAGTTTCAGTCCTATTGGTTGAAATATAACTCCAGGAATTCATCTAAGGGCTGGCCCGGTAGGCACAAGCAGTTCAGTGCCAAAGGCAGGAAGTTTAGTACAGGCTTTTCCCTCAAGTTCGGTTAGTACATGGGAGCCCCAGTTTAGAAATGGCTGCTAGGCTCTGTTTTTACATTTGAGCCCAGTTAGCCAACTGGGACTGAGTCCCTTAAAAGCTATCTTTTTTTTCCCTCAGTGTTGACACCCACTGAGGAGTTTGCAGACACTACTCTCTGCCACTCCACATCAAGATTTTCCCGAGCAAGTAATACCTAAGCACTGTTTGGGAGAAGTGCAGTGAACATCAACAAAGATTTATGGAGAACTTACTGTGCCAGGTGCTAGGCTTACTCTCAGAAGAGTTATCAGAAAGGAGAAAAGGCTGGTGATGGGGCTGGGAAGACAGAGAGCATGTTTGTGTGGGGAATATAGTTGGGGAGAGATAACACATCAAGTTTGGACCAAGACTTAGAACAATTATAGAAACACCTTTTTGCATTGAAATATTTTACGCTATTCCCTCAGTTTTGGATCATCATAATTAATACCTTTTAAGAACTTACTCTGTGTCCAGGTCTTTAAGGCTATTGACTCATTTAACCTCATCACTACCTAAGGTGGAAGGTACTATGGTTATCAGCCCTACTGTGGGGTGACTGAGGCTTAGAAAAATGAACAAACTCACCCAGAGCCACTCAGAGAGAAGGTGGTCTCAAACGGAGACCATGTTCTCAGCCACAGAGGGAAACTGTCTTGTTTACTGTCTTTCCTGCCATTGCAACCCTGCACTCCCTCCTTGATTAGGCTCTTAAAGATGCCCATTTACTTGTCCTCAATCATCTCATTTTCTCACAATCTCTCTGGCTAATCACCTCAGCCATACCTTTCCATCTCAGCAGCCTATTCATTTTCACCAAGGAGCAGCAGGCACTTACTCACTCATCAAACTTTTTGCAAGTACCACCTCTGTGCTTATTGTTCTAAGTGGTGAGTATTCCATAGTGAGCAAGATAAACTCTTGTTCCCCATGGAGCTTACATTCTGGTAGAGGAAGCAGGCCTTAAACAAATAGGCAAGTGGGTTTATGACATGGCATTGGGTAGTGATAGAAAACAGTGCAGAGGAAGGGAATAGAGAGTGATGAGGAATTCCTCTCTGAGGAGAAGACATTGGAGGAGACCTGAATGAATTAAGGGAGAAGACTGTGTGAATATTTGGATGAATAACAGTCCACAGCGGGGAACTGCAGGTACAGAGGCCTTGAGGCAGGAACATGCTCCTACAAAAAGAAGCACTGAAGAGCCTCTGTAGTGGAGGTCAGTGGAAAGCAGAGAATGAAGTCAGCAAGGCCAGATTACCCACAGTCTAGTAAGCCATGCATGATGGAAAGATTCTGCAAGGCAGTGAGCACACCAGTAATACCATCTAACTTAAGTATTTAAAGTACCATTTTTGCCACACTATGAATGTCCTAGTTAAAATTTAAGAAATCAATTAATCGACTATGGCTCTCAGGTATGATTCTTTTCAAGTGTCTAGCTCCTTGCAGATCCCAACCGTCTACAAATTTATTCTCTGCTTTACTGTTATTGCTTTTCCTCCTTCCCTGAAACATCTCCTTTGCATTTCTTTATCCTCATCTCATTGCTTCCCACCTACCTGGGGAGGCTTTCATTGATTTATCATTTCCTGGCTCCTGAACCTCCATCCTGTCCCTCCTTACTTGTACCTGTCCCTTGGATAGGTCTTCACCCCCCAACACACATACATTAGAAGCACCTGGGTCACACAGAAAGATTTTCTGTAGATGGGCCTGAGGGAATTGGTCATTTTAAACAGAATTTCACATGCTTCTAATGTGCTACAGGTTTGCAAACCATTGTTCTAAGTTAATAAACATGCTTAACTCTCTCCATCCTAAAAAGAAAACCTTTCACTTAACACTATGTTTCTCTCCCTCTCCCACTTTCTCTCCCTCCTCTCAGCCACAGTTCCTGAATGACCATCTAGTCTCACCATCAGACTAGATGTCCAACTAGATTGTTGGGAAATGCACTGTCTGGTTTCAGGGACTGTAGCCTCACCAATAGGCAAGAGAGCCCCAAGGCTGGAGCTAATCAAGGAGGCCTTGGGAAAAGAGGCCACTGAGGAGACCAAACCTGTCACCTGGCAGGGGGACAGCCCCTACCTCTCTCATATTACCCTGCTTGGCCCTGTGATGGTCAGTTGTTGATGAAGGGTAAGTTCTCTCATGAGGAGAAAGGACCTAAGGCAGACATTAGCGGGTATGAGCAGCGGGTCAAGGACTTGGGGGACACGGAGAAAGGACAAAAAGGCCCACATCCCTCAGCTTGGCTTGGACATGGCCAGAGTCCTTATTCTCTCTGAGAGAAGTCTCCTTATCTCTTGGTGGCTCTGCCCCGCCCGCCTGGCTCAGGCTTGAAACAATATTAAAGGCAGGTACAGCCCTAAACTGGAGGGGGCCTTTCCAGGGACAATCAGACCTAGAAGTAAGTTCCTCTAAGCATGCTTGTTCTTCCCTCAAAAGTGATGATAACAGGCTCATACTGGGAAGGAGATTTACATTATTCATATACCCTGACCTGAGGCAGATTTCTTTTGTTCCTCTAATTGTTATCCATGATCCTATTTGTTTTCTGTAAAGATAGCCTTCTGACATTGATTGATGAGATTTGCATCCATACCCCTGTGCTTATGGTTCTCAATAAAAGTCATTGGACACAGGGGTTCATGACCTTCTCCCCTAGAAGGAAGAGCCATGTTCGTTCTCCTGGCAAACAGAGAAGTGTTTGCGACAACTTGTGTTTATTCCCCCCATCCATAACAACCCTAGGACAGGCTCTGCAGGATTCAGAGCCCCACTCCCTCCTCAGCTGGCTCCAGACGGTAACCTTCAGATCCAGGAGCCCCACGCTCCACTGCGGCACTCCCCATGACACTAGATGGTCTAGTCTCGACACTAGCTAGTCTGATGTCTCAGACTTCACTGTGCACATGAACAACCTGAGAACTCATGAAAATGCAGAGCTTGATTAGAAGACCCTGTTGGGGCTGGTTGAAAGTGGACCACTCTTTGTAGCAAAGGGCTGGACTTGGTCTTGATCCTCTTGCTTCTAATCAACTTTTTTAAACCCCTCAGCACCACTGATATTGTTCCTGCCAATGTTACTAATGACCCATCTGTTACCCTTTTCTGAGGCATCATGTATAATGATGAAGAGCACAGACTCAGGAACCAGGTATCTTGGATTCAAAACATAGGCGCCCTCCCCACTAACAAGCTGCATGATCTCTCTGTGCCTTAGTATCTTCCTCTTAGGAAGGGGACAATGACAATAACACTTGCCTGAATAGCTGTCATAAGAATTAAGTTAACAGTGGCTGGCACACAAGTACTTTTTAAGTGTCAGTTGTTTTCATCTTATAAGACCTCTCAGCAGCATTTGACTCCATGGACTTCTCCAGGTTTAAAACTCTTTCCTCCCTTAGCTCTCTTAGTTCTCTGCTGACTGCTCTGGCAGCTCCTCTTTCTTGGCCCCCTTGGATAAAGTCTTTCCCAGAGTTCTGCTAGGACTCCAATTTTTCTCAGCCCACCTGGGCCCAGTGGGTAACCCATCTTACCTAGTACCTTGGATTCAATAACTAACTACAAAACATCCCTCAGTTTTGACTTCTTCCCAGGTCTTTCTCTCATTTTTTTATCCATATAGCCAAATATCTGCTGCCACATTCATTAATTCATTCAACATGTTTTTTGTTATATGTGCCATGCCTGACCCTATGCCAGGTGCTCGAGATATAGCAATGAAGTTGTTAGACCTAGGTCATGAACTCAGGGAACTGGCAATCTAGAGCAGAGATTCAACATTAAGTATGTAATTATTTTTTGAATTTCAGTCAAGATATGCAATACAAAAGAAAGGCACAGGCTGCTGTAGGAGTGTGCAGCTGGGATCCTGACCTTGACTGGGGTGATGCTTGTCCTCAGGGCTCCATATATCCAAAACTGACCTCAATAGTTCCTCCAAAACTTCCATTACTCTGCCTGTGTTCCTTTGCTCCAGGAACAGCATACGCACCATCTTACCC